CAGACTCCTAGGCAGAAAGGCAGTCCTACAACCTCGTAGGAATAGCCAGTTTTAAAAAAAATATAAATATCCAATGTAAACCATGATTTTGTTTTTGCATAGGGACTTTCCAAATATCTATCATTATATAGGTGTTTCAATATTTATAGCAGCGTCGGGCTACTGCCCGTCAAAGGCGAGACGTCTGGCAATGAGATCGTTAATCCGTTTGACAAGCGTGAAGATTAAGGCAAACCCTTCCCACAACCAGGAGAGGTGAACGTCAAACAGTCGACTTTTATGAGCCGATTAAGAAGAAGAATAGGTACAAAATTTAACAATATAATGCTCACCTTTAAAAATATCAAACTTTAAAGTGGGGCATTTTTTAAACAACGCAGCATAAAATGGCTGTTGCTGAATTGTTTCAAGTAAAATTAAAATAATTTGATTTTTTGTAGTATTAATAGTTTTACAGTTTATTTTATTTTATTTTTAACTAGCTGATACCCAGCACATTGCTGCCACAGATAAAATATTTGTGGAATTATCGTTTTAAATTTGGAAGGATCATATAGAAATTGAATGATAATAAAATATGACTTTCAAATAAATTTTTCGGTACGATACGCGCACCACTTACAGTAAGTTAATTGTAATATATCTACAACCTTCGCGCAAGTGCAAGCAATAAGTTGACAAAGTTGTAGCGCAATCTGATGAATGGTATGGTAGCGTATAAGATATGAACAAACAACAACAACAAACAAACATTAATTTTTATATATTCGACAAATTCAAGTCATTACAATTTTATATCAACAAATTATTTATAAATATATATATACCGCGGGAGTAGGACTGTATGATAATTAAGTTACTATTTTAGTTTTTTTTTTTTATTATAGTTTTAATATTGTATTTAATATAATATTGTATTTTATTGAAAAATAAGTTTATAAATTAGATTTCAATTTTATAAAACACAATTGACCTTATTTTTAACGTTCTCTTTAAAAAATACATTTACATTTCGTAGAAATATGTACTTTGATTTCAACATAATTTTGTTAAATTTATTTTACATCAGTATACATCGTAAACATTGATGGCAATGCTTGTCGCATGAAGTTCTTTGGCAGTAGTGTCGCTACTGTACCTTAACAATGCGATGTCGTAAGACGAACTGAAGGCTGTCGGGCCAAGTTCATGAACGATCGTTCAACGACCGCCGTTATCATTACTATTCAATGCGATATGGAAGGGATCACTAACGCCGACCCTGCTTGTTATTACATCAAATTAGGTTGCACGACGCAAATAACTGGATTATTAATTATATTAATTAAAATATAATCCAACTTCAATTATTATATTCAATATTAAAAACTATAATAATAAAAAAAACTAAAACTATAAACTTAATTATCATATAGCCCTACTCCCCGCGGTATCGTGCCAAGAACGCTGGCTGCGTTTCCCCGCTGAATGGACATACTTAGCCTTTGAGCGAGAAAAGAACCAGCCCTCTTATCACCAGCAGCAATGACCAGCCGTGGATGGAGTTCCTTTAGGAACTTCACCGCACGTGGACCCCACGGACCGATAGTCTCTACAGTAAATGGCACAAATATGTAGTCATCTCTCAGAGACTCATATTTGCGCCACTTACTCAGTTCAGCTGCCTCTGATGCCGCCCCGGCTCTAAACGAGGTACCCCTGAGATGAGAGGCCGCCAGAGTGTCTATGCAAGTAGCATCCCACACTAGGGCTTTACCTCTCTCCCAAGGGACCAATGTCATACCGTCGGGTCTCCTGCAATTGTCAACTTCAATTGTCACCGAGTTTTCTTTTTTTAAGTACTTATTTAAAATATTTTATACGTGATAGAGTCACCACTCTCACACAGAACGTCAGCGTGAATTTTAATAGTAAGTGTAAAAAAGACAGTGACTCTTTTTACTGGTAACGAGGCTTTTTATCGTAGTCCTCAGGGGCGTACAACACATCTGCAGTTTGATTTTAAGGTAGGATAGATTAAGGTAGGTGTCTCTGCACACACTTACTATCAGGTGGATTGGATGCTCATTCGTCACGATTATTTTGTCACCCACATCTCTATAACCATACTTTATGTTTTTAGTTGTTTTAATAACAAGTGATAAATGAGATTTTTATTTATTGGTTAAATTTTAATTAAATGCCAATGAAAGAAATCGAGAATTTTTGATAACATCAATAACAAGTGCAACGCAAATTACATCGAAATAAGTTTACTTGTATTGTTTACAGCGTCATACTGACTGGTGACTGTAGAGAGCAAATCTGGTCTTTTGCGTTTAAGATTCGACAAAGCAGATAGCAGACGTTCTCCTTCCGTACGTTTAGTGCCAAATATGAAATGAAAGTGAAACCAGACATGTTGTACGTTGTTTACAGTGAGTGTTCCGTCTGTGATGCGTTGTGTGGTGTGTGGCGACCTTCGGCGGGGCCGCGTTTCGGTACTCACACAGAGTTCACGGCGAGGGCTGCTTTTATATCTCCAGTCCATTTAAATCATTTCGCTGACGTAACACCACACATTTTATTAGTCGTATTTTCTAGTTGCCAGGGTTCTTTATAAAGTGATATTATTTGCATATAGATGTGTACCCAATTACCAAGTGACCGAGATTCACAGAATCTCGCGTGTTTGATATAATTTAAGTAATTGATATATCTGAATAATGGAAAAATATTATAGTTTTCCGTGTAGAAAAGATCCATTTTTATTCTTTAGATGACATAAAGGCGACTATGAAAAAATCCGTATAGATCTAGACCCTCCAATATGGGTAAATAAGATATTCAATATTGTATGAATTACTTGTAATACAGTTAACTATTGTCAAAATTGAATGGCGTACAGTTGTAAACGTACTATTTGTAATTTCATTGTCATTGACGTAAATTTTAAGTCGACGTAAGAATATACATTAATCAATAACAAACGTATAAATGTAGTACCAGTATTAGTATGTGTACACATAGTACTAGAAAACTTGAAATATGGACATAAGCTGTGATTAGTTATAAGTTCACAGTAAAAAAAGTAACACCACCATATTTTAACAAAGTTGATTGAGGTCACTAATACAGACGCTAATAATCAAATAGCTCTCAAGAAAGTGCTGCGAAAATTAACAACGACACTTTAATTGATATAAATAGCCATTAATAAACGAGACTAACACTGAAACCACATTTTTCGGGCTGTACAATACACGCTAACTCAATATTAAAGAAGTTTTATTCCGTCTAGAAACTAGGCGTTAAAAGGTTTTAAATTGAAGCCAATTAATGGTAGATGATGTTCCAAAATTACAGAACGCGCCAAATATTAATTGCTTTTCTTAGAATTTAAGGTTACATGCGTGTAAAACATACCTAGAACTAATTTACACATTGATTTATATGGACAGCAGTGACTATAGGTTAAGAGCGTTTGCCGCTGATGTGACAAAAAAGAAAATTAGCACATTTGAAACAATGGTCATTCACCCACGAAATAGGAGGTGAATGAAAAACGTAAATATTCCATAGCTAAATAAAATAGGATATGTCGGCTGTCAATAGAGCTTATTTCAATAAAAAAAGAAGAAAGCTGGCAACGATATTTGTTACAATTTAATTAATCCATTTTTAATATCAATTTATAATATCATATACCGTTTTTATAATTAATTAACATATAACTGAAGTATGTGTGAACATAAAAGACTATTCATTTATTTTTATTCTTAAATCTAACTATCAAGCTATGACTGATAACCTTAATGTAATTTGTACTGTATATAAATACATGAAAACATTTTTAAAAGAAACATCACAAATGAATGTTTGAAATACTTGATGGTTACATGCATAGACAAATATAATTACACATTTAAACATTATGTTTGTTACACCTTTAATTCATTTTTGCTTGCGCATTCTATCTATATGAAGAATTATAGTACATTGCTGAGTTATTCATGAATAACGAAAATATATTTCAAATTATGTCAAGATATTGTCATCAGTTTTATCACATAATCACTTATAAAACCGTTGTCAAAATTAAGTGTACTTACTAATTAATAGTCATGTAGTATTTTGTTCCAATCGCGGAGATCGTTCACAATCTGCATTTATTTATTACAGACTCTGAGGCTCTCCATCTTAATCCTCGGAGGGATAACTGATAACGAATCTGTTATGTAGCCTTCTTTGTATGAAGTTGGCTGCAGGTGAGTCCATGGACTGCAGTAGCAGTTTTATAAATTTAAAAAAAAACTTGAGAAATTCGAACTTCAAAATCTTTTGTATAAGTATTTTAAGACAATGGACTTTTGTATTCATCTTAAGTATATTAGGTATATAAAGTTAGTTTAATTCAACTATCACAATTGCTACAGTCTATCACAAATCCAGCGCTGAACATAGACTCCCCACAGATTGCTACAAAGTACTGGCCTGAGCCACCTGCATACATTGAGTATCTGAGTGTTTCATCAGGTCATCACTCCATCTAGGAAGTAGGGGGTCACCTAAAACCTAATACAGCTAATATAAGAAAATGTTTATTAATACGAAACATTATTTAAAACATGATAATTGATAATACATGTAATTGTTTACTCAGTTGGTTTTAAAGTATATTTTTTGGTATTATTTATTTTATATAATATTACATTATAAATTATTTTATATATCATATATTTATATATATAATTTATGTATATAATTATGTATATATATCCTTAAAAATCCATTGGTAGAGTTCTAAATGCTTAAATATATACTAAGTGAGAAATATAAAAATATTATTTTAGTATGATTTGTATTTGTAACATATTTACATATAATAATATTTGATATTTATATATAATACACTGTAAAATTTTAGAAACAAATATTTCCGTCAATTCCTATTTTCGTATGCCATATCCCTAATTTTCTCTATTTCTAATGTATATTGAAAATTAATTATCGATACTTACTCGTATTAAAGGTCCATTTTCGTTCATATCTTGCAACTGACGTAGACATGTTGAGATGGTTTTCGCCGGCAAAAAGTGAAATTTCACGCGAGACTCTCCGGCCGCTAATTTATTCACTCGTCGTGAAAAACGTGGATCGGACGATACAGTGTGTTCGCGCTTACTATATATAAACACGTGTTTGATAATATGTAATTTGATTCCTTGACTACAAGTACGATTTCATAAATTATTGTTTTAACGATTTTAATTTTTCGCAATATTAATAAGTTGTTAATGTTTTTATGTAGCGAAAATCGTAAGTGCGTTCGGAAATTAATCGGGTGCGAAGTGTTTGGGATAGAGCAGCTCGAAGAAGAGAGCGCGCGACGCGGCGACTTGCGGGCCACTGACTGCGCGCGCGCACGCGCTTACCGCCGCTCCTTGACTCTTCCAATTTTTTTAAATATTTTAATGCTACGCTCGTATACTTTTCCAAATTGCAGCTATGTTGCTATACTGCGCCCAGTGTGCCAAGCCCTAGCCCCCCAATTACAGGCAATTCAGGCTATCAATTAAAATCAACTAAATCTATTCAAAGCTTATGTGCTTTTAAATTTACTTTTTTCTTAACAAGAAGTAATTTGTGCGATGAAAGCAAAGACTGCAGCTTATTGAAACCACTGTCAAGCTCTATCCAGCTCTACTAGATTGATAATGAAATTAACAACATAAATATATTTTCATTCATTCATTCATCATGCATTACAGCTTATGAAGGAATACTCTGCTGTAGAGACTCTCCCATAGTTTGCCTTATAGGAGAGACATTTTCCATAGTAGTCACTCCATTTATCTTTTACAATTTCTATAGCGCAACAAGTATCTTAGATACCTACAGAATATGGCACCTAGAGCAAACATCAAAATTGCGGTTTTTCATGTATTATTATAATATATAATAAAATGAACATGTATTTCATATTAAGATGAGGATTTCCTCTCTTCTCCGCTGCATGTATATTTGTCCAGCATAAAGAGATCGTACGATATACGGTGAACTAAAGTTACTTTATTTAAAACTCTTTTCCTTATTATCGGGAAATAAAGCATCTACATAAAACTGTAGCCGATGATATTGTTGAAAAATATTATATGGTTACCGCTTAAAAAACGAGAACTAGAATGTCAAAGTTTTTTCCCGACAATTAAGTTGAATAATTTTTTTTTTGTATCAATAAATATAAAGTATTTTAAAAATCCATTCGATTTAGAATTTGAGTATTTTATGTATGCGCATATTTTCCGTGAATATACTTTCAATAAGTAAAAATCGTATCATAAATATTTGCCCAACCTGACCTTAAGATCCCAGAGCTGCCGTGATTTTTACACGGTCAATACAAGTGGCTCTGTATTGTTCCAAAATCCTAACAATGTAACTGAATCGTTTCTTGGAATGATTTTAATTTATAAATTCATTAATTTCGGAAACTCGTCCATGTAATTTAGTGACTACCTGGCTATTGAATATCCGATCCTGAGTTCTGATATCAGTCGTTCCTTTTCTTCTTTATCAATCTATGTAAATCAACTATTGAATATTATACTTCTCCAGATGTAGCTACAAAAGACGTGCAAAATATTTTACCATACCCCTCTGGGCAGGGAAGTTGATAAGCGCAGAGAATAGTAATATTACTAGTGTCTAAGATATTTGTGTGGCATATTCGAGTGAATACAACTCTAATAATTTATTTATCTGTTGTTAAAACTTCATGAGAAAAGTCGTAAATTTGGGGCACGTGCTCAGGCATGAGAGGTATGAACTTCTAAAACTCATTATAATAAGAAAAAAGGTCACGGTTATGTAACACCTGGGAGTGGATGGGAATCGCGAGTGCCGCCGAACTATTTCGCCTCGCGAAGAATAGAGCAGATTTCACTAAGCTGACTACCAACCTTCGCTAGTCAGAGAGGCATTAGAAGAAGAAAAAGGAAGCTTCGTTTGTTTTTCAGCCGAGTATATCGCATAAAATATAGAAGAAATTTGGAGAAATTTGAAGAAAATTGATACATTTATCGTATCGGTGTGACGTGGTAGAGCCATGCTGCAGCTATATTAATAGTATAACTGTAGCACGAATGGGTCGGCTCGACGGGGGAACGACCACGCTCTCACAGAAAACCAGCGTGAAATAGTAGCTTAACGCTGTGCTTCGTATGGTGAGTGTAGAGAACCGGAGACCCATTTTACTGGCAAAGAGGCATTCCATCTTAGTCCTCACGGGTGACAACGCATCTGCAATTTGATTCTTTATTGAGGATAAATGTGGATGTCTATGGGTCACAGCAACCACTTACCATCAAGTGGACTGTGTGCTCGTCTGTCACCCTATCCTATAAAAAAAAACAGCCAGCGTCTCAGTGCCAACATTTATTTCCAAAAACGCAAAAAAATATTTTTAGTTCCAAGTGCGTGTGATCTTATACTTGCATTATTGTATAATATCTGTCTACATCTTGCGTAGTAAACTAAAACTAGAAACTAGCTCAAAATATATTATAGCTTAAATAATTTTAATGTGTATTTGTAAAATAAAATAAAATAGTAAAATTGGTCCTAAATTAGTTATTGTATTCGCAAATAATTAAGTTGTGATAGCAGTGCAAGAAATAACAATACACAAAAGATATGGTTTCTGATAGATGGTGCTAAAACCACCACTTTGCGATAGGCGTCAAATATACTCACTGACGAGGAGGAGCAGCGGTATAGTGCAGCAATTGTCAAATCGTCTTCCAGGCGTGACGAATAATACAAACCCTCCATAAAACGGTAGAGGCCCTGCCAGCAGTGCACTTTTACGGGCTGATGATGAAGAAAAATAAATTATTAAAATAAATAATTAACAGCGCGTTAAAGAAAAGTAAGGTAAATTTTCTCGAACTTTCCCGTCTTACACGTGGAATAATTAAACTTTATTTGCATATCACGTGTGGTGTACAAATTAATTGTTATCATTTATGTAAGTCAGACCTAAAGAAAATAAAGAAGTAATTGATAAATTTGTTTAGTTGCTATAGGTCACGTAGCTGATGCGTATATCTCAATGCTAAAATAGGAGTTGTTGAAATCAGTTCGCTCTAGTTACACATGGGTAGCTGCCATGAAAATGTAGTATGTTATTAGCTGGAAGCCCGGGCCGCAGACGGTGATGTCACCAATCACATCTCGACTAATTTATCGACACCACTTGCTAGGATTAGGGCCTCAGTAGAGGATAGATAGTTGTTTTTGTTTTTGTGACACTTCTGAATACCACCGTATATAAATATAAAAAGTAATATGTAATACTAAATTTACTGATGTTTAGCAATAAATTAACATTGCACAAATACAATAATGCGAACATAACTTATTAAAGTAAATGAATAAATGATCGAGCTTTACAGTCGTCGCATAATATGATGTGTAACATCTGACATCTCACCTTCGTAATAAGCAATATTAACATTGTACCCTGAAAATAGATATTTCTTTTTTTTTAATGAAAATTAAAAATATTAATTGAGCAGCAACAGAAATTAACCTCGAAATTTATAAAAGCTAAATACCGAAATATTTATTAGAATAATTAGTATTCATTCATTCGTATGAGGAAGCTCAAAGTAGCTCAGCGAGCTATGGAGAGGGCTATGCTCGGCGTTTCTCTGCGATAGACTTAAAAACGAGGATATCTGCAGTAGAACCAGAGTAACCAACATAGCCCAAAGAAGTAGTATGCTGTAGTGGCAATGGGCCGGCCATATAGCTCGAAGAACCGACAACCGATGAGGAAGAAATGTTCTCGAGTGGCAGCCTCGTACCGGCAGGCGAAGTGTAAGGCGTCCCCCCACTAGATGGAGTGACGACTTGGTAAGACATGCAGGAGCTCAATGGAGTAGGCCATGCTGCAGCTATATTAGTAGTATAGTTGTAGCACGACTGGGGTGGCTCGACCTGGGAAGGACCACGCTCTCACAGAATACCAGCGTAAAATGGCAGCTTGACACTGCTGTGTTTCGTATGGTGAGTGTAGAGAACCGGAGACCCATTTTAGTGGAAAAGAGGCATTCCATCTTAGTCTTCACGGGTACACACATCTGTATTTTGATTTTTATTGAGGATAAATGTAGATGTCTATGGGTCACAACAACCACTTACCATCATGTGGATTGTGTGCTCGTTTGTCACCGTATCCTATAAAAAAATGCCGGTGGCTCAAAAAAAATTGTGGCATTTCTTGGGGGAGGCCTATGTTCAGCAGTGGACTTGTGAAGGGCTGTAATGAATGAATGAATTAATGAATGAACAGCACACTTGACTAAACCATGCGCGCTTATTGGTCAAATCAAATAGCGCGCGCTTCCTCAGCTTCCTGCTACACACTTCCGTCCATTTTAACGAAATCGCTCCTACAGATTGCGGAAAAGCGAGAGGAAAGATGTTACACGACAATAAGATTTTCAATTTTTTTTCGTTATTACGTAAATTATAATCCCATATAAAGCAAACGTATGAAATAATTTATAATTTTGGAATAACATGCCTTTATGTAATACTAATGAATGTCTTTAATGCATAATTCTTCGATTTAAATTTAGACCTCATGGAGCTTAACTTCAATGTAGGTTAATTCTCGGAGCGTGTGTGGTCCAATAAAGCCGTCAACAAGTCGTCTCTGAATATCAATTCACGCTCCTGATCCGATTAAATCTGGCTTGTCAATAATCGAGTGAATATACTTCATGACTGCTGCTGTAAATACTTTCTTATCATCAGTTCTTGGTACTCAATATTGTCTCTACAGATTATTTATTCATTGAGAACTTATTATAAAATATTTTATATATACTTCCTAATTTAGTATTTTTCTGTAACGAATAAAAAGAAAACGGAAACATTTAAATAAATTTATTAATAAAAGAATTTGCAAAGATACTAGACAGAATTGTTTTGTTAACCTTGTTGAACTCTACATTTCGTAGAGTTCTACAAGGTTCATCATCATCATCATCATTATTACAGCCCTTCACAAGTCCACTACTCAACATATGCCTCCCCTAAGGAATGCCATAAAGCACGTTCCTGAGCCACCTGCATCCATCGACTTCCTGCATGTCTCCAGGTTGTCACTCCATCTAGTGGGGGGACACCCTATACTTCGTCCGCCGGTACGAGGCCGCCACTCGAGAACCTGTTTTCCCCATCGGTTGTCGGTTCTTCGAGCTATATGGCCGGCCCACTGCCACTTCAACTTACTGATCCGTTGGGCTATGTCGGTCACTCTGATTCTACTGCGGATATCCTCATTTCTAAGTTTATCACTCAGAGAAACTCCGAGCATAGCCCTCTCCATAGCTCGCTG